ATTTTATTTTATTTTTTTTCGTCTAGCCGGGCAAATGGTCCTGGGCTGCCTGGGTCACCTTGATTGCCTGGGTGGGCCGGAAGTGCAAGGGACGAAGAGGGTCTCTTCCCCCCCCCCCAAAAAAAAAGCAAATTAAAAAGTCCAAAGACGAACTATCTTATGCAGAAAAATAAACTGAACAACATTTGCCTCAGGGTCACATTGAAATTTTTTACAGCATTAAAAAAAAAATTAAAGTTAAAGAAAACACATATATATATATATATATAGGGTTGCTAGGCCGAATGTACGAAGGCCCCTAAGCTGACCCCCGAACGTTCGGGCCTTCGGGTCCCCGTATGGGGCCCGGACCTGAAGGGGTTTGAACCCCGCAAAAACATATTTTTGTACCTTAATATTACTATTTGTTTCTTTTTTTTTTTTGTGAGTTCTTTGTGATATAACATATCTCCCTCTTAATTTTAAAGCCATTTTGTTTAGCCAAACAAATATGAAAAATCAGCAAAGATGGTGGTGTCAAAACTTGCTTGCCGACTTACTAATTTGTTTTCTCTTTTCACTTTTTGTTTTTCCTTTATTTCGGGGCATGCAAAAAAATATTATTTTTTCAAACTTTATATGTAAACACTCTACCACTTTCTTTATATTTTAAGTTTTAACTCTGTATTGTGTAAGCTACACATACATAATTTTTCATGGCATTTGTTAAAGACAAAAAAACAAAAAACCGCTTAAGATGGCAGTGAGTGCGAGAGCATGTTTTCGACACCGCCATTTTTATTTTTCTTTCGCATAGCTAAATGCCTTGAAAATTGACACATGTGTACTTCACATAATACAAAACCCACTAAAAAAAATTCAAAAAATAATAAAATTTTTTAGACCTCGAACTAAAGTGATAACAAAATTAAGAAGTGAAAAACAACGTGGGCGAACACGTTTTGACATTGCCATCTTTGGCGATTTTTAATTCTTATTTGGCTGAGAGAAATGACTTGAAAATTTATAGGCATGTACCTCACGTCATAGATACGTCGTACAAAAAAATTCAGAAAAACAAAAGTCATTTTTAGGACCCGAAATTATTTTTGGCAGGGGCCGAACACCATCGGGTTAGAGACCCGTACGGGACCCCGAACGCCCGGACGTACGGAGGTCCACCCGGGGACCTCCGTACGTACGGGCTGGTAACCCTGTATAATTATATATATACATATATCTGTATATATATATATATATACATATATATATATATACATATATATATATATACAGGGTTATTTGACCGAACGTTCGGGGGCCCCCGGGCTGGTCCCCGAACGTTCGGGCATTCGGGGTCTTGTTCGAGGGTGAACACCTCCAGGTTCGGTCCCCGCCAAAAATTGTTTCGAGGCCTAAAAATAAATTTGTTTTTCTGTATTTTTTTTTTGTGAGTACTCTATGATGTAACCTACACGCCTATAAATTTTGAATCCATTCGGCTAGGCCAAAAAAACATTACCAATCGTCAAAGATGGGGGTGTCAAAACGTGCTCGCCCACTCACTATTTTCTTTTTTTTCACTTTATACTTTTTGTTTTTCAACTTTATTTTGGGGCCTAAACAATTTTCTTATTTTTTGAAAAAAAATTAATGAGTTATTGATTATGTAAACCAGATATCTGTAAATTTTCAGGTAATTTGTCAATGCCAAAAAATAATTAAAAATCGTCAAAGGTGGCGGTGTCGAAAAGGTGCTGGCACACTCACTCATTTTACTTCTTTTTTTATTTTTTCTTATTTTTATGATAGTGTTCATTTTCTATATTTGATTTTTAATTCAAATTTGGCTAAGAATTTGGATGTTTTGCCCAGGTAAATGTTGTTTAGTTTACGTTTCTCCATAACATATGTTTTGTTCGGAAGTTTTTGAAAGTTTTTTTTTTTTTTTTTTTTTTTTTTTTTTCCGCATTCGGTCTGAACGACCGAACGCCTTCCTGAAGGGGTCCCATACGTTCGGGCGTTCGAGCTCGGGCGTTCAGCCCGTCCCGAACACCGGCAACCCTGTATATATATATATATATCGTCACAAACAGAACTGCCCGGTAAACCGTAGGCAGAGAGAGAGAAGAGGACAACAAACGAGGGGATATATATGTATATATATTTTTGGCCCAGTCGGGCAAGTAGTCCTTGGCCACTCTGATAGCCTCATAATGACTATATATATATATTCCCCTCTTCCCCCCCCTCTCTCCTTAGGAAAGTTGTACCCTCAATTGCTTCTACAAGGTACATACCGTGTATTCGAATACAAAGTACACCATATCTTCTACTCGTATACAAGGTACATACCGTGTATTTGAATACAAAGTACACCATATCTTCTACTCGTATACAATGTATACTACATACCTTGTTTCGGGTTAAGACGGCAGTGGGTGGAGGAGGCTTGACCTTCATTTCCCCCAATTATCCCCCGTAGAAAGCAATGTTGAAGTCTTTGTATTTTCTTTCAGTGAGCAATGATTATCCTGTAGTTTATGGCATTTTCTAATTTTCAGTGACCTCCCCCGGCAACACGAGCATTGCTCCTGTCACTGAGGTTTCTCACTGGGAACCTCTCCCCATCTTTCCTCTCCACTCTTGGAGATGTTCCATTTCCTCAGCAGAAAGTAAAAATAGGAAGGGGGGTGACGGTCAATAATATTAGAGGGTCCCATTACGTCCACTGTCATGGTTCATCTGAGGATTTAGTGGCGTCAGAAAGGCAAAGATATTAAGGACCCTTCTGGCCTTTAGAGGCTAAAGAAAGAAGGGTGCATTTTGGAAAAGCGCATTAAACCACCAGTTCCTGGCCCAGCTATCAGCCGCCAAAAAAATAGAGTAGAAACATTCCTAGTGGGATGAATTTGGGCAATTCTGTAGTGGCCTGTACATTTCCTAAAGACGCCGCTTGGAAGTACTGGTGGTTTAACTTGTGCACTCTGAATGAATGGATGACCATCATTTTCCCCTTTAAAAGTATTGCAAAATTGACCTTAACCTGTCCCCCCCTAAACCCCCCTCTCCTCCTTACCTCTCTCCAAACTTGCCCTTTGTTGCCCAACTGACCCCAACCCAACTTATATGGGTCTAGTATCTGTTTTCTCTCTCAGCAAGATACGAACACCGCACATCATACAGTGTTATGGTCTGTACAATTATATGGATCCTTAAACGAGTCACAAGAAGAATTTGAAATTACACTTCGAGCAAAAAACAGTTTCAAACGGCACTTGGGGCCATGTGTACAAGCTAAAGGGGGGACAGGGATAAGATAGTTAATCCCCTCTGAAGAGGGCAATCAATGCTGTTCCGCATGATATGACTGTTTGATATGACCGGCTCCAGTACTGTAAGTCGGATGCTGGACCTAATTTCCAGCAGGTGCCTCTCCCCACCAATAGATTGGAGCCATTTATCACTAAGGGCCTACTATTGGGGGATGCTCATATCACTTCCAATAAAAGATTCCCCATATGTTTTTTCAAAAAAAAAAAAAAGAAAAAAAAAGGATAAGAGGACATAGTGGGCAATTTTTCCAGGTGAGGACTGGGTCAGTAGGAAGTAGGAGCTCTGGAAGTGGGAAGGGTGACTTATGCAGCCCCGAGGGAAAGACAGTGCTCCAGGCTAGGAACCCGAAATGGCCATAGTCCCCAAAAAACACTGTACTGCTAGGAACCCGAAATGGCCGTAGTCCCCAAAAAACACTCTACTGAGATGATGTATGCAAGGGATCCTGGACTCTGTTCCCAGCAGGTCACACTTCCCACCAGTAGATGGAACAATCCGAGAGGAAAAGTCCCAATTCCGCTGGTTCTCTTGCCCCCACCCGGATAGAAGCCTTGCACAAGGGCTCTTCGACAAGGGAAGAAAAAAAGAAGCTCGTTTTCTGGTCAGGAAGGGTTACGTTATGTTGGGGTAAATGCCCGAAGTATAATTTCAAAAACAAAAAAAGAAGCTCGCGTTCTGATCAGGAACGTTCCGTGCGGGTGTGTTATGTTGGGGAGAATGCCCGAAGTATAATTTCCAACCCCCTGAAGTGTAATTTCAACCTACTTTCGTAACTGTACTGAAGTTACCCCTTGTTTTTTTTTTTGTTTTTTTTTTTTTTGGGGGGGGTACAAATGTGGACTGTTTCCCGTTGTCTTCCACAACAAAAAGGAAATTTYYTKYYTKTYTTYYKTWTCCGTTCGTATTCAGTCCTTTATCTCATTCCTTCCTTACAGACGTCCGTAGCGTCCGCATCACTTGCCCCTTAAACCCGTGTTAGTCAGAATCATCATTTTATTTGACCCCCTTCGTTCTTCAACCCATGTTCAATCCTCGTTCCCCTCCCCTCCTACGTTCCTAGGAGTCCACCCTATTCACCTAACAGAGGTGTGTGTGTGTGTGGCTCCGCGTCGCAACAAATCCCTTCTAACCCTCTCTTCTAATGTCTATACGCACAATAGCCTCACATTCTGCACATTCTGCTCAGTTGTTTCCGAAGGGTGGGGGGTGACATGAGGCTGCATCCACATGCCCCCCTTGAATTCTTTCTTGAAGGTGTACCGTGTACAGCCTCATCACCTCACCAAGTATACTGTCGCAAAAATTCCTTGTTCTCTCTAATTAGTAATTACTTTGTCTCTAATTAGTAATTACAACAGCTCCAAGATTTCTGAGCTGCAGATCCTTTCAGTCTCCTTACTACCGTCTTCCCCCGAACATAACGCACCCTGAAAATGAACGTATACAAGGTATGTTTCCGACCCGATACAGGCAAAATGGGGTTGCGTTGTGTTCGGGGGAAGAGGGTAGTGTGCTTCGTACTGCTTACCATTTTGCACCACCTCTTCCTCCGCCGACTCAGGGTGGGGTGGTCGATTTCAATCGGGAGACAAAGACGTTCTAGTAAAACGTTTTCGAGCAGGATCTGTCTACTACTTCTCCCATTCAACTTGAAATCTATCATGTCCCCATTCCGTAAGCACTGATCATCTCAGTGATGCTATGCTATGTCATGCTCTACTATGCTATGCTATGCTATGCTATTTCAAACTGCTCAGACTCTGGGTGCGTTTGGAAATCAACGACAGTAATGGCTGGCGGTTCTTCTCCTTCTGGCTTTGGGTGTTCAGACGATGAAGAAGAAGAAGTAGAAGTAGGAGCTTGCGGTGGAGGCGGTTCGATCTGTCGACGCATGTATCTCCATTCCCGTAAAAAGAGGTACATAAAGAAGAAGAAACCTATTTGGACAGCGAAGATGATGGTCCATATCGTCGGGATCTTGACCTGCGTCCTCGATGCGAGAGCATTTATCCCGAAAAAGACATTCACCACACCTAAGAACACCGCGGCTGTGCCAAAGCCCCAGTGGAGGATGTGCCAGGGCAGTCTGAGCACGGTTCCGACGTCCGGCCGGGCCATTCCAACGACCGGCTGGACCCAAACGCAGACCATGACGACCAGTCCGAGGCGGCCATGCAATCCGTTCAGCGCATGGAACGTCGCCATCGCCAGGATCGCCGAGATGGTGGAGACGATGCATGCAACGAGCTGGAACGTCACGTGGACTTGCAGCCATGCAGCTGTCAGCCGCTTTCCATAACGGGCGAGAAACACGCCCAGGGGGAAGATCACCGCGAACGCCGCCCACATCAGACAGCCATGCACCACGAACAGGTTTATGTTGACGTCATCGGGCCGCTCGCCGGCGTTGACCGTCGAAATGCCGTTGACCGATCCGGTGTTGAAGTCAACTCGAAAGCTGCCGGCGTACGAGCCGTGGGACTGGAAGTCGGAGGCGCCGTCTTCGGAATGGGCCCAGATCATCCTGTTGGGACCGGTGGGGGAGAGCTTGACGTCGCCATCGCCAAACCTGCGACCGAACCTGAGCGTCGTCACGCCCGTCGTCTCCTCGACGGACCAATCCAACACCTCGAAGTTTTGGCTATGGACGATGCCATCCCTGCTCTTTGCCACAATGCTGCAAGGCTGTACTGACTTGGTATCTGCCACGTAGATCACGCAGTCTCCAGCCATTTGACCGTTAGGCGACCAGCCAACGGCCAACCAGAAGACCGTCCTCTCCACCTGGAACGCCATCCTCGCAATCTGGTCTGGACGTACCTGGTCTTGACGCTCGTCCAGAGGGACCACAGCAGGCATGCTCCAGTGGAACGAGACACCTGGCCCGATGTCCGACATGCACTCGAAGTCATGAAGGGAGGACGTGACAGCTGTCGGCGGACATAGCCCGCTCGCGCTTGGCGCTATGCTTCCAGATCCCGATGAGGAGGAGGAGACCGCTTGCAATAACGACCTTCCGAATCGTGATCCCGGCATTATCCCCCTGCTCCTGCTGCTGCTCCTCTTCACCGAGACCACATCTTGAGAGCCAAATGCAGATCTATTCACAAATGAAGAAGAAGAAGAAGAAGAAGAAGAAGAAGAAGAAGAAGGAGAAGAAGACGGAGAAAACGAAGAGGAAGACGAAGACGAAGAAGAAGAAGAAGATGAAGAAGAAGAAGAAGGAGAAGAAGACGGAGAAAACGAAGAGGAAGACGAAGACGAAGAAGAAGAAGAAGAAGAAGAAGAAGGAGGAGGAGGAGGAGGAGGAGGAGGAGAGGTGAGTTTCATGGATGTGAGTTTCATGGATGTGAGTTTCATGGATGTGAGTTTCATGGACTTTTGCCTCCTCATTTGGCGGTTTTCCCAGGAGATGAATCTGTCCTTAAAGGTCTGATCAGTAGAACGACAGATGATAGGAGCTGCTGACAAGGAAGAAGAGAAGAGAGCCACAGGTTTCTCCTGTGTTCTTCGGGAAACCATCGCCGTGTTCGTCTTCCTCAAGCTTTCATCAGAGAGAGAAGATGAGGGTGAGAGGGAACCGTCAACTGGGACGGAAAGCTCAGGAGAAGACGAAGCCATGGCGATATCGTTGACGTGTTGGTTTTGCAACGACCGTCGTCGTCTAGAAGCCATCGCTGAGTGAAGCTGGTCAGTTACGTCAGCTTGTGCAGAGATGTAGTCAGAACCGATGAAGACGGAAGGAAAAGACGAAGCCATGGAGGTGATGGCTATGTCGACGAGTCCTTCAAGATCGATAGCCGGACTGGCGCTACTACCCTGCATATTTCTTCTGATAGGATGGATATAGCCATCGACGAAGGAAGGAGAAGTATAAGCACCATCCCCAGCGGAGGAAGGATCACCATCGGAGACAGAGAAAGAGGAAGAAGAAGAAGAGATGAACGAAGCAGAGGTAGACGAGGAAGAAGAAGAGAGAGAAACGAAGGAAGAACTAGAGGAGGAGGAAGAGGAGGAAGAGAGGGAAGAGGGGAAAGGGGGGGAAGGGGGGGAAGGCGGGGGAGAGGAGCAAGAAGAGGAGGAAGAAGAGGAAGAAGAGGATGAGGGCAAAGAAGCAGAGGAAGAAGGGACAGAGAAAGAGGGAAAGCGTGAGCTTGTCAACGGCCGCTTATAGAGCGACTCCTCGGACGTCATAGCCACTTTCTCGAACGCCATAGCCACTCCCACTCTTCTGCTGTCGCCTACGGAAGCAGTGCGAGCTCTATTAGCAAGCTGAGAGAAGGGAATGTCGGCGATGGCGGAGTGAAACGATGCCGATGATTCGAGTCTCGCTAAACTCTGCTGCTGGTCAAACGGGATGGTCAACGCTAACAGGCGTTGGAGAGCTGAAGCGCCCGCGGCAGTTCCCAGAAGAAAGGTGGAAGAAGCTTCGATCTGATTCTGAATCAACGTTGCAGGATGACTTGCAAGATCCAACGGCTGCTGCGCCGGCAGCTGCAGTACTTCTTCTTTTGCGTTCATCACCGTCTTCTGCATCTCGGCCATCGCTTGCTTCCGTCTTTGAATGAAGGCGGCTACCATACCGTCGTCTACATCACCATCTTCGTCACTCGTGTCGGCCATCGCCGCCCCGTTGGTAGTCGTCATCCAGCTCCTCTTTCTCTTTCTCTCTTTCGTCCTCGTTGTCTTCTTCTTCTTCGGTCGATCGCCATCGCTCCGTTCAAACTGGTCGCGTTCTAATCTACCACCACCGTCGTCTTCATCAATCGATCCTTTCCTGATGAAGACGGATGTCGAATCGTTGTTGTTCTCCGCCATATCTGTCCTTGTTGTCATCCTCTGCGCACCGATCTGCTTCGGCATCGCGCGCACGTCAGCGAGTCGACTATGATCAAAGTCGACTCGCCGATGTGCGTGCGATGCCTTCGATGCCACGTGCTCGTCCCAGCGAAGCTTCTGACCGCCATAGCTGGGTCTTCTCTCTCTCGCACCGGCAGACGCCTTCGATGCCACGTGTCGGAACGAGCTGCTGCGGCCTATTCTTCTCTTTCTCTCCTCCTTGCGCGCCGACGTTTTGGCGGGAATCGAATCCACTCCGCATTGCAACGTCCTCCCGCTTTCGCAGCCGAAGCGGCGGACGTTGTCGTCGATGGCTTGCCTGGGTGCATGTGGTTCGTTGACGTCAGCAGACGAGACCACGTGCCGAAAGTTGCCCTCTCCTGAATCAACACGTCTTGATCCATCGGGCGACAACCCAGAGGCCATCGATCGAGATCCAGATCGAGATGCAGACCGAGATCGAGATCGTGCTCGTGATCGAAATCGGGATCGAAATCGAGATCGGCCGAAGCAGCGGACGTTGTTGTCGATGGCTTGCCTGGGTGCATGTGGTTCGTTGACGTCAGCCAACGAGACCACATGCCGAGAGTTGTCCTCTCCTGAATCAACACGTCTTAATCCATCGGGCGACAACCCAGAGGCCATCGATCGAGATCCAGACCGAGATCGACATCGTGATCGTGATCGAAATCGGGCTCGGGATCGGGATCGAGATCGGCGAATGGACAGCAACTCTTCGCCCACCTCGGGAAGCTGCCCCCTTCCTCGGATCGAATCGCCGGATCGAGATCCCTTTTCCCCGTCGAACTGCGACCGGAGACGAACGCCCATAACCTCAACCTCATCATTGTAAGGAATCTTCCGTGAGAGTTCTAATCTTGTGTTGCTTCTTGGCACGCCGACTTCAGCACCGTTCACGTGCACCGTTCCCGCCTTCCCGACGTCGGCGGGAAAAATGTGAAACGCTTTCCGCGGCGAGGAATAGAAGGAGAACAGCCATAGAAGTTGGAAGACTAACCGCATCACCATCTTCAAACCCTTGGCGCGGCGAGACGCCGCCGCCGCCGCCATGAATCCCAGAGTCCGGGACGCTCTTGCTAGTCTGATTAGTCATCAGGCTAGTATTTGTCACACGCGCCGCATCACATTTGCGTCGTGCTGAGCCTCGCGTGAAGGAGCGTCGCGTGACCGTCGTCCTTTCTTCTGCCGTTTGGCTATCGATCGAGACGACAAGTAGTCGTCGCTCCGTGATGAAACAATCTTTTTTTTTTTGCCTTTTATATTGCAAAAATCATCGTGATGGAACAATCTCTCTCTCTCTCTCTCCTTTTTTTCTTTTTCTCTCTACAATCCCCACGACGTGACAACCTGACTGACGCCCTCCAATCACCATGTTTTTCCTTCTTTTTTCTTTTTTGCAGGGTCTTGTTTTCTTCTTTTTTTGGGGGGG